TCATACAAACCCCCCTTGACACATTTCTATAAAATACTGATTCTTCTTTATTAAAAGTTATTTTAAATGTCTTTTTTGTATTTTTACCTGTGACAAATGTAGCAGGATCGATCCTTGTGTGCCGAGCAACCTGTCCCTCCGCAAATTCCATAAACGTATTGATTACTTTTCGATGAGTGTTCGGCGAAATATATTCCGGCTCCGAACATGCCCCCTATGTACGCGTGTCTTTCGTCGAAACCTTTTTGCACTATCGCATTTATAAAAGCAGAACCGTGGAATAGCATTCTTTCGTTACTTTGGTTACCATTTTCTTCCGCTACTTCCTGCCTTCTGTGCGTGTAACGTTCCCATAATTTCCTATTTTGTACCTTTTGTATCTGAAACAACAAAAAATTATATAGTACCTAATGAGGATAGGAGCGCAAAATTTTCTGCTCATTATCATGCCGTATAGAAAATGGTCGAATTAATACTACATACACAAATTTCAATTTTTTAAAAGGATGCCATATTAGATTTTCTCAATCTTGAGTTTGTTTTTTTTTCTGACTAATTTGATATCTCGTAGTGTTGGTTTTATAATTTATTGCAGAGAACCATTTTGTTGATTTTTTCTATTAACTCACCCTTATTATGTTGTATCTACTAAAAATGCCACCAGCATGACCGTTATCTCGATGTCTTTGGATTGTGTTTTGCATCTCTTCTTCGACTGCTATGTATTCCTTGTCATCTGTCAGTAGGTCAACTAGGAGCGTTCCAGGATTTGAAGGAGTCGTCCAAGGACTGCCATAGTTTGCAACGAATCTTTCTATGCCCTTTATCAACTTATGACGGTAACCATATGCAGAAATGCCGATTTGCTTTAAATCTTCGTGACCCATCTCGGCTAGAATATCCAACGTGATTTGTTCACGTTCCAATAATTCCAATAAATGTTCCAAGTTTAAACTAAAAAAATAAAAGAAATATTACTCCAATACAACATAATTATCCCCACAGACGAACTCCTACTTCATTGAACTTTTATTTTTTTCTTCATTTTATAGAAATAACATAGGAAGTTCAATAGTGATATATATTTTTTAATGTTTAATTTTACTTCAAAATACTGTAAAATTGTTGTGGCATTTTAGCATTTTACACAATTTAAAAGCATTGGGTGACTTACTTGGCTAAAAATGTGGCAATATTAACCACCTCTCCAGATTCTTGAACACTTCCTTCCAGTTTCAACGTTTCAGCACATCCTTCGGCGTTTGGCATCGCAATGCTCATACGCGTAGTCGCTACTGGGACAGTTAGCGTTAAGGGTGCTCCTGAAGGCATTATCACCACCTCTTTAACTGCAGCTTGGACGGACGAGCTTGTTGACGCGTGCGATAAAGCGACAGAGGGCGGTCTTAGAACGGCGTTCACGGACGCTGAAGACGCTGTTGGTACCGATTGTTGGGACGCCATAGCGTCTCGTAAGAGACAACGGACGTCCTCCTGGATAGCTAGGTCGACTGGCGCTTGGTCCTCTTGATTTTTCAGGAATGGGTCGGCACCATGTGCGAGCTAAAATTGACACTTTTAAAGAAAAAGCAAAAAATGCGCATACAATATAACAAATAGATAGTGAAGTGAAGTAAGGAACAAAGAGGCGGAAAGAAAGAAAATTAGGATACAGAATAAGAACTACTCCACTTAAAATTACATATTTTCAAAATATTTAAATTATATTTTTACTTTAAAACGGTTTGATATTAAGGGTTAATAATTTGGTTCTTAAAAATAAAGTTGACTTACTAGGAGAGCACATAGTTGAGTTCGTCCTTTCTGGGCTGCCTCGTGAAGAGGTGTAAAGCCCCATTTATCGGTGGCATTGACAACCGTGTTGAACTTGATGAGGAGGGCTGCAATGTCCAGGTGCCCGTAACTCGACGCGTTATGGAGTGGAATGAGTCCGCCTTTATCC